GTGTGTGTGTGTGTGTGTGTGTGTGTGTGTGTGTGTTTGTGTGTGAGGTTCCACACTTCTAACTGACTACAGTAAACTCAAAAACAGCTGTAACTCTGTCACTTGTACTGATATTGAGCTAAATTTTGGAGTGGCACTATAGTGTTATCTCCAACTCATACTCTTAGCAACAATCGATTGTGCAAAAACTTTGTTCAGAACTTTAATATTACCCGTTGAGGTAATATGTCTGTTAGCGAAATATCTCATGAACCACTGGACAGATATGAATGATATTTTCTGAAAGCAGCCATTGAGTGTGCACAAACAACGGTTTAACTTTTGGAGTTAAGCGTCAAAATGGCCACCAAAGCCGAATGACTTTAGCAAATACAAAATTGGCCACAACTCTGTTAAATTTACAAATATGCAGCTTCTCCAAATACTTTCTTTGAGAATGTACGCAATCGCACAAATTGTAATATTCACAACACCTTAGACTTTATCCTTTTTTTAAAGATAAGATGATCTTATTTAAAATTCTTATAAGCCCTAACACGTACTTCTTTTGTCAAATGACTACGAAATATACAAGCAAACTTTAGGATTATGCTGATTAATTACAATAACGTGAACAGTATTAAACCTCATCTTCTYTTTGACATGATAAACACAAAGGGCCATCAGAAGAGGACCTGTTTCTGAGGCAGGGGGCTGACCTCTTTTTGGATCATGGGAGGAGGAAGAGGAGAGAGGAGGAAGGCCAGAGATGGGAGGAGAGACTGCAGGAGAATTGGGAAAACTGTTTGGTACATAAACAGGATTTTAATGATCGGTGTTACTAAAGATGAAAAACAAATTCAATTAATGTTTTATTGTTTTGTTTTGACAACCTGCTTTTCCCCAGGAGTTAAACCTTTCCTACCAGGACCTGGGCGATCCTTACCAGCAGGAGAACTTCTTCCGCATCCTTCGACGGTTGATCCGTGTGGAGAAACTACAGCTGATCGACAACTCTCTCACCAACCTGAGTTCTGTACGTCTGCCAAGGTAAATAAAMCACATCGCAGCGTCCTTATCGGCTGAGCCTTTCGCTGGCTGTRGCCAGCTGATATCGTCTCTGACGCAAATGAGTTTCCCAAGAAGCCTCAGGCAGGAACATACTAATGTGTTTGAAATTATTCTGCCATTTCTTATAGCTGCACAGGACACATKCAGTGGTCAAGACGGAGAATAATGTTCCGTGAAGCATTATGACACGCCTCACTTTGAGCTGGAACCTTTTAGGCTTGTGTCTCYGCTGTGATACAGGCATTTAGCAGATGGCAGCTTTAGAGCTCATAACAYTGTTTAAGGTGGTTTAAACAAATTTATGGTTTATGGTTTGGATCGACTGTTTTAGCTCTGGATCCCTACTAGCTTTAGGAGCTAGGGCTGCCCTGATTTCCTGTTTTCTTCTTGAATATGACTTCTACTATTTCCACAAATGATCTTGTCTCTTTTTTCATGCCTTCAAAGGAGACATATCATGCAAAATCCACTTTCCTCATTTGAATTTAAAGAGGCAGCCTCAAAACGAGTTGATCCGAGACACGCCTCAGAAAAGATGTGAAAGAGGGGCTTGTGGAGTTACAATAAGGACCAAAGCATTGCAGTTCCACTTTATATAGACCCCCAACTGAATGATTTAAATGTGAAAAAGGATGACTTAAAAGCATGAAATGTCTCCTTTAATGTTCTTTCATAAGATATAATAAATAAAAACATGATTTTTCATGTGTGTGGGGGGGCTTTGGCCAGGTGCAAGATGCTGAATGTGCACCGTAACCACCTGGTGTGTCTGCGTCAGCTGCCAAAGCTTCCCGTGGTGGAGCACCTCTGTCTGTCGGAGAATGCCATCAGCTCCCTGGAGGGGCTGGGGGTTCTGAGGAACAGCCCGCTGAAGACCCTGAATCTGAGCCGCAACCCCGTGACCTTCACTCAGTCCTACCGAGCACGGTGAGAAGGCTTGGTGGAGGAGAAAGGGTTCTTTTTTTACAGCTCGTCTTCATCCTCTCTTTTCTCTCTCTCTCTCTCTCTCTCTGTGTGTGTGTGTGTGTGTGTGTGTGTGTGTGTGTGTGTGTGTGTG